CTCGCATACCACCATCACGACTCCTTCTAACACCGCACCATCAACCCATGTGTATGTCGTGCGCATTGAGATCGCACCGGCTGCCGACAGGAATAGAGCTCTACTGAACCACTCGGAGGAGTCGAAATGCGAGGCGAGACGCTAACACCTCAAAGGCACTAGAGAATAGGTTCAATTGCCATCCGACCTTAAACGTATTTTACCTTAAGAGTACGCTCTTAGCATACGGGAACCCACTTCTTTTCTCCCGTCCTTGCGGTTCAGTTCTCCTTTGCGGATTCGATCGAGGCGTTGTTCAGTGGACGATCATCGAGGGTTACGAAAAGCATAACAAATTGGCGACGCAGACTCATTATGTCTATTTGCGCGGAAAAACTGCAGTTTATCTTGCAAAAAAGTAGGCTCAGTTCGATACAGCTCATCTGAAGATGTTGGAATGCATGGTGCGAAAATTAAATTTGCACTTTCTCTGAGAAACAATCCACATCAGCGGACACAGTTGCTGTTTGCATCAATGAGCTTATTTATGAGCCCGATTCCGGCGTGACTTTCAGTATCTGGTTTAAACGTTGGGAAGACAGTTTCCAAAATGATTTTGCGTAGAAGGCAGGCCTTTGACTATTGGGCATCAAAGATCACTAATGGTCCACTGAAGGGTTTCTGCCGAAGAACCTTCGTAGGTTCACATTCTAAGGAACTGTTAAACAACTCTCAGAAGCCTTCAGAGAGAAGTCATCACAGTTCGGTATACGATAGCAGTGTCTCCAGGGGGTAAAGAACGAGAGACGAGTTTCTGACGTTCGCCAGTATTGCCAACCACGACTCCGAATAGTTGAAGTTGCGGGCGATGAAAGAAGATCAGTTTACGAGTCTACTCCTTGTGTGCACTCTTCAGTCACCTTGTGGTGCTGAACTCAGGACTCGTGTGCTCGGCAAAACTTAACAAGACTCACACTCTTACAGAAATAGACTACCGAGTGTTAATGACTCAAGAATCTTAAGCAAGATTCTGTAATGATGGGGCAACCCAGTTCCTCATTTGCCGCCACTGGCGTTCACGTTGTCAACCACGCAAAGTTAATATCACCATACCCCAAGACTCGACCTCCAGAAAACCGGCAACAGCATGTTTGCAATGTGGTGATTGACATTTCGTTTGCGTATATCCAGTCATGAAACACGTTCGTCAGAAATTCCCTAAACATGGGCACAAGGAAGATCGCTGCCCAGTAGGCCAACCCTCCGAATCAAAGGTATGCAGTAGGAAGACACGTTTTCCCAAGCGCTTTTCATCCTATTTCGGTTCGAAGCCTAACTCCTAACTGGCCACGTTAAGTTTGAGTTTGACGTGCGGGCAAAGTACCCTTCGATTGCTATCAATATCAACCCAGTGCGACCCCCCCCGCTCAATGTAGCCTCAGATATCCCCCTTATCCTTATGCGTGCCTCATATATGATTGGATGGCCTCCCATGATCTAATCGAACACGAAGGCGGTGAACCTTTCCGGGAGAATTATCCGGCCCACCGGCGAGCTTTACTGTTACGTTTTTGGTGGCATTCAAGGAGACATGCTACCTCACAACCCGCCCCGGCCTTAAATTACTTTTGGCCGTCAAGTAAGACATTGGCAAAGTTCGAAGCTAGGCCAATTTCTCTATGCTGCTCTGGGCATGCGCAGGCCGCAACTGGCTTATCCGCGCACAGTGGACTGCGAGCAGTTTGCGCATAGTACAACGGAGGAATAATAAGGCCACAAACTACCATCAGTGGATGCTCCTATATTTAAAGTGCATGCATGGTAGGAGGGGTCTTCCATGAGAACACACCTGAAGTTTTTATCTGGAAAATTTGGAAACGAAACCTTCTCTGTGATCTGTCAGACAGAGCAGGGCAATTATGTACCAGTAGACTGCTATTCTAAAAAAACCCCGTCAAAAACTCGGCAACTTTCAGAGATAAAAAACGGT